CTCCGTTGCGTGTCGCTTCGCGTTGAATTTTCGTCGATGTTAAGCCTAACGAAGACTATTGTATCGTTAAAAATTATTTTTTTATTTTGTACAAACAAAATAAATATATTGAAAAATATAAAAACAATAAAAAATTATACTTCAGATGTTAATTTAGTATCAAAAACGTAAAATATTTGAGTAGCCCAAGAAATAGCCGAAGATTGCAGCGCCACAGCACTAGCGAAAATTTAAATTTGCCGACTGGAATGCTTTCGGATAACGGACGTTTCGGATAACCAGCTTTCGGATAAACGACGCTCTACTGTATCTAGTTTTACCTATGACAATTTATGTGGACTCGACTGTAGTATAGAATTCATGACAACACACTTACTTGAGAGAAAAAGAATAAGTCAACAGAAAATGGCATTAAAGGGCTTTTTTAATTCCTTTGCTAGTGCTTCCAATATTGATATAAATATCACCAGGCAATTGAAATGGAACACTTTTTCAGAACGAAACTTTTGAAGTACAGAATTGGAACAACATTAATCAAACAGAATACAAACATATCCTAACATAAAATTTTTTAAAACATTTTTAAAATGACATATTATCTATGTGCATGCACATAGAGATGTGGAAGTGGAGACAAGTGGTCAGTTATTATTATTTATACGTTTATATAAATTAACCCAAATTTCATGCAACTCAAGGGTGCGGGAGTTGTACAGGTTCAATAAAGTGGTGAAGATAGACTCCCCCAAATAAACAGAAGGTGCCTTTCAACACAGCTCCTAAGTAAAATGGAGTTGTTCCAAAGTGAAGTGTGGCTATGCTGTACGACCATTTTGGACAATTCGGTGTCACACCTTCCCACTGCCATGGAATGCTGGTGTTCTGCTAATCGAGAGGACAGCATTCTGGTGGTAGCCCCTATGTAGCAGGTGTGTGTTCCAGTTGTATTTTCTAACGAAACCGAATATATACCTGACTTTTCCAAGGGCAAAAGTGCATCTCTATTATTGTATAAAAGTCTGCGTAAAGTAGGGTGCAGTGAGATAGGTAAATATAAGAAGTTTTGTCTGAAGACACGAGATATACGGACTGACAGGCAACCATAATACAGTAAAGATGGCTGAAGTAAAGTCCATTCCCTTGGTTTCCATAAGTTTCCTTCGGTAGTGGGGACATAGTTGTATTTGGCAATACTGTAGCCACATCCAGTTTCTCCATAGGGCAGAAACTGAAAGTACGTGGGTTTCGGAAATTTTGTTGGCATAGATAGAATACATGTCAGGGAAGGTCAATTTGTCAAAATTTGAAAAATATGCATATAAATAATCGTGGCCTGATACAAAATTCATACCAAAGTTATTAGTCAATACATACCTGGCAGCAACTTTAGGGGAATGCAATAATAGTCCAAACATACAGTCGACCCCCCTATAACGCGGGTTCATATAATGCAGATTCATATATCGCGGCAAAAAAATTGCAATTGCATTCGTATAAAGACAGTAAAAGAGACTCATAAATTGTGGTAAAACGTCATCGCTGACTCGTGTCACGACAGGATTGGTCAAATCTGGACCAATAGTGGACGAGCAGCCGAACTACTTACATGCTACGGAGAGTTTAGGCAGGTAAGTTGAGTTTACTATCATCTATACAGCATATAAATTAGGTACTGTAAGTCTAATACAGTACTGTAACTTTATAAATTTCTTGTGAAAAAAACATTTTTTATTCAACGGCCATAAAAAGTATTTCTATTAATGATGTCTCCAAAGTTCAACGAATTTTTCGCAGAAAAATAACTTATCAGAAAACGTGCCTGCCATTTGGTGCGCCGCTCCGCGACGAAAACAAGCTTAAGCAATGGTGCTGTCGAATGGTGCACACTCGATAAGTAATCCTACAATTTTTGTTTATAGCATAGTTTATACGTATTATTCCCAAAAGTGCACCTGTCAAAAAAATCTCGTTGGTCAACAATTTGTCTAAAACATTGGAAGAAAAACATTTTCATTCTTCAGAGGAAAAAAATCTGCTACGGATCCCTATACCGTATTCTCTAACACAAACCAAAGCAACTAAATTTTTAAACACATGTCACATACAAAAAGTGGCCACGAATACCTATAAATAACAGACGCGACACACAAAGTGCTCGTCGGCTACTTTGCAGGGACATTTGACAGGATGCATTATTTGCCATGCACAGAAAACTTCTACGTTTCACTCAGTTCCGAGGACCAATGTTATCTGCTGCAATGCTACCTGCTGCAAAAGTTACCTAACTTTACCATTACCAAGAAACGTTTGAACTCGGGTACCAAAAATCAAAAACCCTTCAATCAAAAGTAACAAATATTTCTGGCTATCTCGAATAGTCATTTTCCACTTCTATCATTCGGTGGCAATTCATTCCAGAACGTCGGCTCAAAAAATAAATTACAAGTACACAGCTCAAGACTCATCAAGTGACAAAAGACACACCATTCCTAACAGTATATACAATATATTAAAATTATATTGAAACTGTATACTGTATTGAATCTAATAAATTTTGTATTCATATATATTATATTTTTAGTTAAATGATTTCTTTACTCGCTTCAGTAAAAAAGAAGAAAAAAAGTTATCAGTAGTAAATTTTAAATATGCATAAATATTAAAAAATTTTACACAAACACATATATTTATTAAATACGCGCTGCATTCATTTTGTGCTCCTATACCGTAAAGACATTATTTCGTAAGCACGAAGCAAAGCCATTTGATTTTCCGAACATATATGAGATACAGCGTAATTATAACTGGTTCATTCGATTTAAAAACAAATTCCTATCACTTGTGCCGCAGCTTCTGTCAGTTTCACGTAAATTACGTCGCCATCTGGCGAGAAAAAGAGGAGACTTCTAACAAAGTAGCGACGCTAGAGACGAATCATTTTTTCTTTCTATCGTAATGCAGTCGGTTCGACACGACCAAAGATTTAAAAGCGCGATTCGGCATCCGAAATCCTCATCCCTCTCGACTTAATTTAGAAACGACGATTAGATGGCGCCATCCGGAATTTTAGAAAGGATCGGTCGAACCGGCAGCGAAGAAAGAGCGCGGGTTCTTTCTTACCCTTCCGTCTTCTTTGGGAGGGATGAAGACGACGGCGGCTATGCAGATCAACTGGAAGATGGCACCGAAGAAGAGACCGTATCGAAGCAACTCGTCCACCACGTCGGCCATCTTGACGCTCCGCCACCGCACCCGCCAGTCGGCGTACAAACGTCCGGACCACGAGCGAGCGGTAATGCCAATTTCTTCTACACCGTGGCGCATACGCAACATCGGCCTTTACTCCCGATCCGAAGAACGGAATCCCGGCTGATTTTTAACCCGGAAGATCCCTCAAATTTGTTAAAAGTTCACTTTTTTTCTTATTTTGTGTTAAGGTTGAGGAAATTTTGCAAACAGAAAGTATAATTAACTCGTAAACTGTCAGAATACATTTGTATTTATTAATTTTAAAGCCCGCTTATTAGATTTTTACTCGTTACGCAATAATCAATACGTAGCCTATTTGTGGCGGGACTCCGAAAATTCTTTACTTGTCGGGACCTGGAATATCTGGAATAATTGTGCCGATGTTGTCTTAGTTTCTAGTACAGTGGCTAGAAAATATAGTGTCGAAATCGAGCTTATTTTCTGTCCCTATATTGGAGGTTGCCGCAAGAGGCGCTGCTGTCAATCGTTGTGCTACACTGGCTGTATCATCCTATGTTTATATTGGTTTTAAGTGGGATTTTTAAGCATAGTAAATGTGCTGTAGCCAAGTAAAAGAATTTAGATCGATAATAAATCATATCACTAGCAATCAATTATTATATAGTTTTACTTTATTAACATTTATGAAGGAATTCATTTTATTAAAGCTAATTAAGATTCTTATTAAATCAAATAGCCTACACTGTATTGTCTATTTTTACATTACAGCTGTTGAGTGCTGTACAAACAAGTATTATTTAGAGTACAAGAGTAATCTACTCTTGTTATTACCTTATTAACAACAAGGTTTATTCATATTTACTAAAAAAATACAGAATTTATCATATTTTTAATAATAAAATGTAAGTTTTATATGGCTTTGTGAACCTCTTCCACTGTGAGGGCCTAAAATAGAATTTATTAAGCAAATGCCATCAGTTACATAATACTGTATACTGTTCACAGTATTATGTGACATAGTATAAAGCAATATTAAAATTACAATTAAATTCTACACAGTATATAAAATATAAAGGCAGAATGTTACTTTATTGTCCCAATATAAAATTACAAAATTAAGTATGTACAAATAAACGATTATTAGTCTACTGCCAAGTACCCATGCATATACACTTTATATTTGAAAAATCTCTCTTAAAAAATTACAGATTAATATGCATGTAGATTTCTCACCCTTTTCGACAAAAATAAAAGAATTAAAAATTACAGTAGAGTAATATCTATAAATTAGAAATACACAAGTCAGTAAAGTTTCTGTTCAGCCATTTCCTAAGGATTTATTCACTTTACAAGCACAAATTTAATCGTTTTCGATGTTCTTGTAAGAAAGGATATCACGTAGCCAAAGCGAAAGTAGCACTACGATTGACATCAGCGCCACCTTGTCTGTGACGTCACTAACCTCGATGTATGGACCGAACGGTTATGATGGAGGAGTGTAAGTGCTTTCGACACTATATTTTCTAGCCACTGTAGTTTCTAGCCATGCTCGGTAGCTTCCATAACTGCGTTATGCCAGGTCGTGCGAGTTGGGCAAGGACGTGAAGTCGTAAACCCGATTATTAAAGCCGAATTATCGGGCTATACGCTCGATGCCGCTATTAAAATAATGCTATATAAACTATATAAAATATAAATATCGAGCGTATATAAACTATACGCTCTATGCCGCTAGAAATCTTCCAGGCTACACATAACATCTGTCTTCTTTTAAATGCATTAAAGACGATTGAATCGGAAAGGGCATTTTCGGTAGCGGGACTTTTTATTACTAAAATAAGAACAAGATTGGCCATCTTTACTTTTTAAAACCTTATTATCAAAAATTTACAATAATATTTGTACAATATTATGTTTTATTTTAAAAAACGCAAATTATCTTCTATGTTAGAAGTTTGATCTAAGTTCATTTTTTTCTTTAAATTTTCAACTCGATTCAAAGGTACTTTTTGTCGTAAGCGGTTTCCAACAAATTTTAATAAATTTTTTCTATTTGCGAAAATTTCTACGTAATTCAATGGAAATGTTTAATACATATTTTACACAACATTATGAATATGATTTTGGAGTATGCGGGACGTAATAAATTACTTTAAAATGAAAACTAATTATATCATTCGATTTTGAGATTTATTGATGAGACTATGTCTCGTCTATAAAATCGCGCTGCTGTCAACGGCCGGACACCTGACAGGTATGAACTATGAAGTTGTATTGTCAGGTTTTTGACACAGGGTATGTTGTGCCCAAATCATGCGCATACAAAAAAAAAACCAAACTTGTAGGTAGTCGGAAGACCGAGAACCGGGTCGAAATAAAATACAAAATGGCGAGACTGTTTCTACAAACAGGCGCTAGTGCGATACACGTTGCTCGTTGGGAAGTTCGAAATGTAAACGTTGCAAAATCGAATTTTGCCAAACGTGCGACACAAGTTAAGTGTGTATTCTCTTGCTCTCGTCGTTTCGATTTTCCTGTCTGTTGCTGACACCTCATTCAAATCCCTTCGATCTATTAATTTGACCGAAAATGCTTCGTGGTCGTGGCCGGCGAAGTTTCAACGTTCGCACTCAAAACCAGCGATACCAAAGAAGATTGAAGTATGAGAACGAGACCCGCCGTGAGCTTACCATAGCCAACGCGACCCGTCCTAACCACGGCGGCAACGAAGCTCGCCGTAATCTACGCCAGAACCCCCAGTACCGGTGTCGGCTTTTCCTCATTGGAGTGTGCTCATTTTTCTCTTTTCATTAGAAAATGGTGCGCAGTCGAGCTTTGATTCTCCGAGACATAGTCTCGTCCCATAAATGGCCTTGCCGTTTTACAGCAGAGCATCGATTATCCGACCCCGATTAACCGACCGTTCTAGTCGGCAAATTCAAATGCCCGCTAGTGATGTGTCGCTACAATATTTGGCTATGTCTTAGCTACTTTAATATTATTTTTACGTGTTTTAGCTGGCAACACTGGATCGACCATGAAAGGGAGCCAGTATTTAAACGAGGTTAACGAGGCTTAATTTTCCAATTTTTAACGATATAATAGCGACGATTATTATTTAAATAAAATTTCGGTTAGGCTTAACATCGATGAAACTTCAACGCGAAGTAGGTTAATAGCGATATACTAATAATGTATTTTTTCATATTTTTCGGTTATCCGTGTTTTCAGGTATCCGACCAACCCCAGTCCCCAATTGAGTCGGATAATCGATGCTCTACTGTACTTGTTTCATATTTTAAAAATATCAATTATATCCCGGGAAACAATCATTTTTCTCTCTAAATGACCGATCAAGCAAACGACCAAGAAATGAGAAACCCTAATACTGATCGTAATGCTACGGAACTGACGTAATAAATATTTCTGCCACTTCGAGCGTTGTAATCGCTTCGCGGCAAAAGGTTGGCTCATCTCATCGACGATAGTGGAGTGTTATTGCTCTTCGCTTGATAGGTTGGCTCGAGCAACGTGCCACTAACTATCCAGATGGCACGATGCGCTGATTGGTCTGCTGAATGTCGTCAACCTACTGAAATCGGAAATGTTGATCAATTAGCCTAAACTTTGTATTGTTGTTGTGAGAGTGGGCAGACATTATAGTTATAGACATTTCATCTAAAACTTGATAAAAGGCACTTATTTATAATTTCACGAGCTCTTGTGTGTATTGAAATTAATGTTAAAATTATTGCAAAATTTTCAGATAAACTAAATTACATGATATAAGAGATTTTAATGTTGAGATATTTTTAAATATCAAGAAGTAACTTTTATCTGTTTTGTATTTCAATAAAGCTTTTTTGTACATTTACTATAATAATAAAATAATCAAAAACAACAAATGTAAATTGCAAATTAAGTTTTTTTCACATTATAAGACAACTAGCATACCTGTCGCGCATTGCTGCGATCTCAGAAGAAAGGAAATTCAATTTACATTTTATCATTTTTATTAAAACTTATTATTATTATTCATTTCCATCGGGAAAACATTTCAAAGTGTCGTTTCAATTCTATTTATTTATTGGAGTGCTTGTGGATACACGATATTTTTTGTTTCTCCGTCTGGTGCATACACGAAGAAATCAGGTTTTCCGACGCGTGAGCCAGCCACATACAGTTGTCCATGCGAGAAGCACGGATTCTCCAAATTTAGTCCATACACTCGCAGCGATTGTCAGAAGCGCGATATTCCCCATTTATATATATATATATATATATTAATCCTTTATAATTTTAATTATTTAATTGCTCCTTCCTCTCTTCCTTGGCATGTTGTGAAATTTCTGATAGTTGGATAATAAACCGTTTTATTGTAATTTGTCTTTTTAAATTATTTCGAGCCGATATTAAAATTTGGAAGAAGGGGGATACCTAGATCGGTAAAATACGCGAATTTCTTCCTACAACTTCGGTTGTTGTTTGGGATACAGTTAAGGTTTTAACGAAGTTCGAGCGAATACGTAATTAGCAAAAAAAAGTTGAAATAAAGTGATTAAAGAAAAATTATTACAAATATCGTAAATAACACTTCACAAATGCGTATATAGAGATATTTTTTCAAGGGGGAAATGGTCTTCGCAATTTGAAATCGATCGAACACACAGTGCTCGAATGCTTGGGTAAACGTGCGCCATCTATCGTAGGATAAATATACTATGCCAAAAACCTTCGCGGGAGTGTATTAAAAAACTCAGCTGTAAACACTAGAAATTCTTTTAATATATGAAATATTCTCGTTTTTAACTCAGATATTGTTTTTGTTTTTTAAAGGACTGCTTATAAATGGTTTTGAGCATAATTTATTAGTAAATATCGTTAATATTTATATATTTCTATTAACTGTCACTTTCATGATTTTAGATTTTAAATTGATTAGACTATTTGTTTTTTGCTTACAATTTATGTTTAGTTTTAAATATTTTTGAGAGTTTTCGTTAAGGGGAAGAAAACGTAATAAAAAAATTTTTAGTCAAGTCTGTATAGCCTATACTTTATTAATATGGGATCTCTTCGGAATTTTCTAAAACACTGAATTACGAATAAAATGGGTCGATATACATTTAATTATGGAAATGTATAGAAATGTTAAACAATGCGTTAAGATAGGATAGATTTAAAGTGTTACAAAAACAGATTTAGGATTTAGAGTGACTTTGGAGTTTATCTAGGTTAAGCCCATATCTTTTTTTATTTGTTTCTATTAGGTGAATTATTGTGGTTTGCAGTGAGAATTACGATATACTGTATGTTATTCACAATTTATATTGTGTTTATTAATTTAATGAGATAGATAGAGATTAAAGTTGAGCCAAAAAAAGTTAGGAACAGGTTAGAGAGGGGA